GTGTGTGAGCGTGTGTGTGTGTGTGTGTGTGTGTGTGTGTGAGAGGGTGTGTGAGCGTGTGTGTGTGAGTGTGAGTGTGTGTGTGTGTTTGTGTGAGAGTGTGTGTGTGTGTGTTTATGTGTGTGTGTGTGTGTTTGTGCTCGCAGCAAATGGCATCACAGCACTACGAAGGGTCTCCCGGCACCGGCAGCACCATGACAACCGCTTCCATCGCCATGGCAATAAAGATGCCCTGACCCAAAGGGCCGCTCCCGCAGGAGTGGATGTGATGTGATGTCAGCGCATTCGATCATTTCAGTTCATGGATGCCGTCCAAATAAGCACTCGACCTCATTTAGCTCAGAGAAGAGTCCTTCAGCTAACAGGTTTATCTCCTCCACCCCCCTCACCCCCCTCACGCTCAGTCAAAGACCTGCCGTTTTATACTTCAGTCGAATGTCTCGCATTCAGATGTCTCCAATAAACAAGCCTGCAGAAACTGAGCGAGACGCATTCACATCAGGTTAACTGAAACTAACTTTTCCACTTATATTCTCATTACTATAATTTTAAAGAAAACATATAGTGATATATTCATACATAAGTGGCATTTGTTATACTACCTTCAATCTGTGATATGAATTTTAAAAAAACATCGTATTGTAGCATATTTTTACAGCAAACCATCTGCAATACAAATATTTTATAACAGCAATGAGAATCAAAAGTGTGAAGAGTGAAAAATAGTAAAATCTCAAAAGTAAAGCATCAGATGCATTTCAAAAAAATGTCTTTGGAGTGAAATGTAACCAAAAAATTGTTAGCGAGAATTTACACAAATAATAAACCATCTCAGTAATCGGTCCAAATAACGTAAAACCGAGTAAAAAAAAATTATTATTGCAATGAATATTTGCAAAATTAATAGAACTACATTCAATCCAAATAAACAACAGTCAGTAAGCAAACATTATTTATTTTTATTCAATTATTAAACAATTTTATTTATTGATATACTTAAATTTGGCAGTGCTTAAAATGATTGCATATTAAAAACCATACAAACACAGAATGGAGTGTGATTTCGTACACGCGTGTGGAGGTATACTGTCGTACTGTTCGTTAGTCGCACGCGTGTGTTTTTGTTCAGTTTTGTAACAAAAAAGGCACGTGACACACACACAAAGCACTTTGGTTTGGTGTGAATAAAACGGTAAACCTCAGTGTTACCGCTGAAAGCAAGAGATCCATCTTGGCCGTAAAAAAACATTATTATTATTGCATCAAGTAAACAAACACACTCACAAATCTTTGCTCTTTTGCTGTGGAAATTCAAAATACTTCTGGAGTGGCTAAAAACATCGTAAAACATTACAGTCGGGAAAAACATTCAGTTGCCGAGTGGCAACATTCTGGAATTCCAGGAACTCCACTTGTTACATTGTTACAATCCGAGAAAAGAAAAGGGCAAGTAGAGACGGAAGAACCGGAATGAAATGAGTGGAACGGGTAAACGTTTTCTCGTGATCCGTAACATCTTGTGTACATTTTCTCTCTCTTCCGAAGTAAACATGTGAAGTGCTCAGAAAAAGTGAAAAACAATAAACCGAAATCTTTTTTTTCGTTTAAATTCCTCTTTTCGGAATTTAACGTACACATGATGAGGAAAGGTCAAAGGTCAGTGGTGATGACTGGCGTGACCCCGTGAATCAGAAGGGTCGGACCCAGGTTACGCGTGAGCAGCTCTAGCTGATTCAGGTAGTCATGGTAACGGCTGGTGTCGGCGGGGGGGCGGGGCAAATACAGGAAGCGGACGGCGGGTGGGCGGAGCGTCTGGTCCAGGATGAGTTTGTTAACCGCTTGTAAATATTCGTCTGACACTCGCGAGGTGTTGCTAGGGAAACTGTTCGCGAACACTTCATCGGCTTCGACTCCGCCCTCTTCGCTTTCCATCTCTTCGATTTTTTCCGATCGCGTCTGCCGTTGCCAATGAAGCGCGACTTGCGAATCCCAGGGAACCGTGCAGATTTCCGCCTTCATTCGCAGTTCTTTCAAAAGATGTTTGAGTTTCTGTTCCGTCCCTTTAAGGCTCCGCCCCTCCTCCACGCATAAAAAGAGGCGGAGCTTAGCTTTCTGCCACGCCCTCGTCATGTTCAAAATACACGCGAGTTGAAGCAAAAACAGCGAGCATGTGTCGACATACGCGGCGCTGTCCGGACGCAAGAGATTCACCGGCCACACATCGACGAATACGGGCCCCTGGAGCGCCTGCGTACGATCGAACTGACCGAAATATCGAGCCAACGCTACGTTCTTCAGCATCTTCACCGCATCTGCGATGACGCACACATACTCCTGAGGCCCCATAGACTTCCCGCCCCAGACTCCGCCCCTGCCCACAGACACGCCCCCTCGCACTGGCGGGAAATGGCAGGGCGGGTCGTTTTGGTCTTCAGGGTCATCAGTTTGAGACGAGTTGTCAGTGAATTTGCATATCGATAAAGAGGAGTCCTGCAGCAGGTCCTGAGGCGGGATATCATCATAGAAACCCAAAACCAGAGTATTGGGTCGCATACCACCTGTGAACATAAATAAATATAAGTAAATAAAACAAATATAAGTATAAATACATAAAAATAAATTAAATTAAATAAATATACAAAATAAAATATATAAATAAATAATATTAAATAAATATGCAAAATAAAATACATTAAAATAAATAAAACAAATAAATCAAAAATAAACCAATAAACAAACAAATAAGAATAAAAAATAAATAAATAAATAAATGTATAATAATTAAAATATAAATTCTAAATAAATAAAGTCTCATTCTCGTTATAACATTTTATAAAGTAAAAAAAATCAAAAAAATATTTTAACTGGACAACAAGACAAATTAAGAAAATAATATTTAATTAAAATGAAACAAATATAAAACATATTTTGCATTATATTTTTTTAAATAAATTATTTGTGATTAATTCACCAAATAAAATAAATACATTTTGAATTATTTTTTATTTTTAAATAAAACAATATTTGTGATTAATTCCCTAAATAAAATAAAAATACATTTTAAATAATTGCATTACATTTTTTATTACTAAATTACTGAAAACAGGCATTATCACATGGGTAATCATATATAAACCATTTTTCACTAGAATTCCGGCAAAATAACCACAATACATGCTGTAACCGTGATGACTTGATGGTAAGATGTCTGGTTTTGGGGATGGTGTAAGTGCAGTTAGGTTTGTGTGACGGGCGTCTGTCGCTCACCGAGTCCCGATATGAACAGCAGGTGTTGAACTCCATGTCTAACAGAGTCGGCCAGCGTGAGATTAACAAACGCTTTAATATTCAAATGATCCACCAGAGACAACCAGGAGTCATACTGAGACTGCAGCGGATCCGACGGGAGAACGTCTGCGGAGAGAAACACAGACAGAGAGTTAGTGCCTCCATACAGATTAATAGAGAAGATTTTCAGCTTAATATTCATGTACCACATGCAACGCCTGCTGTCAATTACCACAGATCATCATTCGGCCGGCGTACCGCTCTAATAACACACACATTTACTGAAGATCTCACTGTGTTAATCAACAGGAGTCAGGTTGAAAATAACCCAAAATATTCCTTCAAATTCTTCAGTAAATGAATGAGATACATAAATAAAATGTTATATATATATATATAT